TTTGCGAAAAGAAAAAAATCAAAGCATTTGATTAGCAAAGTGAAAATACACAAAAAATAAATATGGATTATAAAAAAATATTTTGATACATGAGTAGTAAGATCATACATGTGCAAGATCGCCCTTATTTTTCCATTCTTTACACGGGCCTACATGGCCTCAGAAATTGCATTGGACTTGCTCCTGACTTGCTCCTGATGGAGAGCAAATGATGGATTTCATTGGGAGGTACTCTGGCCACTCGGGTTGGATAAACAGTGCAAACCCATTAATATCAAAATCCAACCTATTTCCTCTTTCCCGTCATTAAAATAAAATCAACGTTGATATCAAAGTTCCATTTGTTGTGATCATTCACATGAAGAAGACTTCGATCCACTGCAAAACTATGAGAAACCTCATTCCCAATGAAGAAATCATTTGATTCATTGCTCNTTCTTAAATCCCAACATTTCATTTCTCCTTCAGAATTTTCAGTTACTCCCTTCATCTCAGTCAAATAAATTGAAAAGTGAATCAAAACTCTGCAAAAAATCAGGAATTTTTTTTAAATCATAGTAAAAAAATTCAAGGGAGCAAACCTCTGCATCAGAAAACCTTTCTTAAACCTCAAATTTTCATTTCCTTATGTAAAGAATCATACATGAATTAACCTTAGACGGTATGTAAAGACGAAAAAAAAAAACTAAACGCACAAACTTAAACCCCTACAATCGAAGAAGGGACAGAAAGATTCGCATAATACAATAAAAGGGCAAAGAATTTACAATTTCAGTTTAGTCGTCAATAAAATTAGCATCAAGAATCAACAAAAAATTGATTACGCTAATTTGTATAGAAACCCGTGAGAGAACTAAACGATCCAGCCTTCTTGCATAGTTTTGGCCACGAGAAATTGTAATTTCATCCCTGAAAAAAATGAATTTAATCGGAAATAAAATCAATCAAATGAAATACACAAATTAAATGAAATACAGATACATATGGACCTGTAAAATTGCTGTAAAGTTTCTGTAGAAGAGGAAGAAAAACGAATCGCAATCCGGGAGCAGTCGATTGAAATTGTCGGGGGCTTTCGCTCGGGAAAAACCTCGAATTTTTCCTCTCTGTAAATAATGAAATGAATGTTCTGGAATCACAAAAGCAAGAAAGAAAGATAAAAACAAGAATAGCAAAACCGTAAAAACAAATGGGAGCAGAATTCTAGCAGAGCTGCAGAGATATCAAAGCAGCTATTCTTTTGACATATCTCGAGGAATGTTCAACATATCTAGCTTGTCATTACATGTTATTTGCAAGAACCAGATTTTTAATTTAAGTTATTCAAAGAGGAAAACATACATGTCAATTAAAACTATAGTTTGCTAAACTATGTCAGCAACAAGGAGCTTCCAAGGAACAAAATGAGAATCATTGTGTATGAGCTTCTGAACAGTAAGCAATTATTAGAACCTCAATAAAACATGTGCATCAATGTTCTCTGTGGTTGTAATTTGTAATTCGTAAAGAGTGACATGATTCAGTTGGATTTAAAGAGCAACAAATACTGAATGGACAACTGAAGGTTGACAAGATCTTACTGATGTTTTTTCTTCAATATTTCGGCAGCAAACTCTAAACTGTACAATGACTGAATCTGTTTATCACATGTCTACGAAGTAAATGTCCAGAATATGCTCTCATTTCTAATATGATCACATCTGAAAGATGAAGATATTTGGAAATTAAGGGAAGAAAATTACCTTCCGTATACAATTCATTCTGAAGTTCAGCCAGGGGTTTCTCCAATCCTAAATGCCAATTGCGGAAGATTGCATTTTTAAATGCAGTTCTAAAAGGGAGATCAGAACCAGTCTGGATGAATACAACATAAATTAAGTAACCAGCTTCTTAATATGGATAAACAGATAACATCGAAAAAGAGATAAATTTAAGCACCAATCGTTAATGTCATTGTAAATCATCATTCGTGTAAGTTTTGAAATAAATAATATTGAAGTAATATGGTAAAAATTCAAAATTGCAGGAAATACATACTCTAACTCACATCTGATAGCAAAAAGACGAACTTATCATTTTTTGTGGTTGATTCCACGATGTCAATCAGAAGCTATTAAGTTGGATCACTTTAATTATATATTTTTTTTTTCAAGGGTGAGGGAAGGGGTAAATTTTTATGGATCTGGATTCTTTCCGAACGAGGTTTTCTTACAATTAAAAACAATGGTGTTTATCAATAGTCAGATCAAATTGCAGGAAACAAGGTGATTATGTTCACAAGATAATCTAAATTGATAGCATTAACGTAAGAATTTGATTGCAAATTTAGTCGTCATTTATGCTGCAAGCCTGCAACCGAAGGCCATATTGGTAGAATGTAAAGGAAAATAACTCATCACCAAATAAGGTCCTCCCTAATCAAGTTATTGGGAAAAAAAAAAGACAAATAATACAAGTGTTATCCAACTTGTGTAGGTACTTAAAACACAAATTGACCTTCGAAGCATGTCTCTATAAACCTTTTTATGTGAAAAGGTACATGAGGTTTATGGAAAATACAAAGCTTGATCTAGTTACAAGGGTGAAGCTAAAAACATTTATAGTTGGAGGGGTCGTGACAAACCTTATCTAAGAGCTTAAGCAAGTATACACAAATCACGGGGGAAAAAGTTGACTAACCTGTACATGTAAACATCTTTGCCATCTCCAACACTGTTTTTGCAAGTATGACATCTGAGAAAATCCACAGATGGAGAATTTGAAAAATTGGCTTCAAATGCACAATCCCTTTTGTTATCGGACAAATTAGGATGATTCCCAACCAGCTTTCAACAATGCAATCATAAAAAATGTGTTGTTTTTGGCTTAGGTTCATGAGTGATCACACAAGTATAGTCATCAAAAAGCTCCATTTCCTTCAAAGAAAGCTGCCTAGAAAAAAGACTCATCAATTGAGAGTCCCTAGTCTTAATTCCAAAATCGCTCAGAGATTTAGGCAATTGTTTGACCGCAGCAATCGAAGAGGGGACAAGGTTTCGAATTTAAACCTTAAATTTTGATGCAAAAAGAACCATTCTACTAATTGGGTTTGAAAAATCCCCATCATTTTTCTCATCATTCATTGAATCAACCAAGGCAAATCCAATGGCTTCTAAGTCTTGTTTATTATAAGAATTAGGAGATGGGATATAGGTTTTGAGAAAGTTTAATCATAGCCAAAATGGTTAGCAGAATTTGATGAGTTTTTTTGTCTCAAGAACCGAGGTTGGACTCATTGCTACTGATTGTGCATCAGACAAATTCTTTGTTAAAAAAAATATTGGTGATCCCAAGAAAGATGAAAATCAAGTTGTGGGATTTCTTGGGCTATTCATTGCTCTAGATTTATCTTCAACATTAGTATCTCTAACCTCTTTTTTGTTAAATATTTTACCAAAATTTTGCACTTCAAAAATAGAGAAAGAAAATAGGTATAAATCCAAAAAGTAAAGAAAAAAATGCATGGGTTTATAGAAAAGAGCTAACATGAAACCATTAGAAATGTCAGCCTCTTCAGTAACTGCTCAAGGCAGTGGAAAAAGCCTCAAAATAAGCAAAAGTTGGCTTCTTTCCACTCAAAAGCCGGAATTTCTGAACTTTGTTTAATATATGTAAATAGAAAACACTGTTAAATCTCGTTAGTCTCCATGTTTTGAACACCAACACTGATCTAAAAAAGACCCAATATTTTTATTTTCTGTTATTCAAATAATCAAAATGAAGCCCAGATTTGCATTGATGATCAACAATATTCAATAGCCTTTGAGTGTGTGCGATTCAATGAAGAAAAACAAAATAGACAGCAACTTGCTAGAAAATAGAAAAACACCATTAAGCAGAAAAGAAAAATAAAATTAAAAAATTGTAAAATCTAACCACCTTGCTAAATTTTAATTTATGTAATAAAGTTATCTAAGATCTAAAGGTATTAACAAATATTTTTGGTAATAGAAATATAGTTAATAAACAATTTAGTTTAATAAAATGATAGTCACCTAAAAGCTTATTAAAATCATACTAATTTATACAGCAATGATAAATAGAATGTCTCACATGATAAAATACTAAATTGTTACTCTTGTTTCTATGGGGTTAAATTTAACCCTTTTCCTTATTTCTGTTTACATATATAGGATATCCTTATATAGACTATTTTAAGAAGTAAGTTACTCGTTTAACTAAGGCATCTAACGTAATACTCAAATGGTAACCTAAAGTTCAATCACTGAAGTGTATTATGGAATTATTTCCAAACATGTTAGCGAAAATAGGTATATACTAAATAGAAATAAATTTTGAAACTACAAGTAGAATACCTGATATTGTTTTCTATATTTTATACACACTACTACTTCTATGAATAGCTTATAATATTGTGTCTATTATAAGAGCAGGATTTGTTATCATAGTTTTTGCTTGTTATATACCTTTGTCTGCTACTATAGAAGCCTGAACGGGAAGCACATTAGGGTAAATTATGAACGTCTGGTAAAATGCCTACTCGTAGGCCCACAAATTACACAATTTACGCATTGGCAACTTATGCATTCAGTAATTTTGGCATAGGATGTTCTGGAAATAGAGATACTATTGAGTTTAGTAAATTCAATAATAAATGCTTGACAGCTTAAGATAAGAACATAATGATCTAAAAAGGAATGGCAAAGGAGTAAAATGATATGAAGCCTGGATTTTTAGGTAAGAAGCAAATCTTATTGGAAATGTCGATATTTGGTTCATCATTTAGAATCATATCACATCTCAGCAGAATACGAAATGAAAAAGCAAAAAAGCAGATATAAGAACAGGGAGTTATTAAAACGAAATAATTATAGAA